AAAAGATATGATTAGTTGCCAGTGTAAAAAAATTTATACTAGTAATGTATAGATGATTAACTCATAAATTTTAATTCAATGGTTAGATTGTTAATATTTAATATATAATATGAGTTAATATATATATATATATATATATATATATGTATAAGGAGAGAAATTAACTTATTTCAAGAGTAAGTTTTAGTATATTTACTCTACTCAATAACTCATGTTTTATTTCAAATTTTAATGATCCTATCATTGAACTAAAAAATTTTAATGTATAAATTAAGTTTATAAATTTTTAAAAAATTTAAAAATTATATGATACTTCGTTATATAAATTTAATTTAACGTATAAAATATTTTCATAATTATTCTTCAATTTAAAATAATGAAATAAAGTATCAATTATTTTTAATTTTTTAAATTTATAAACTTGAATTATGTATTTGTTTTCAGGGAGTTGGTGATAAAGTACAAAGTTCAAAGTGGTGGGTTGATCTGTGGACCATTGATTCTGCTCCATACACATCATTTGATTGGTTATCTTCTAGGTGTACCAAGGTGGTGGGGGATGGTCGAAATACCTTTTTTTGGAAGGATGGTTGGAGTGGCCAGAGACCTCTTTATAATCAATATATTAGATTGTTCTCTATAGCTTCTAACAAGGATGTATCGGTCGCAAACATGGTGCTTTGGAGGGATGGAGGTTTTGAGTGGATTTGGTCTCGGCGTGGGAGTCTATTTCAATGGGAATTAGATTTATTATCACAATTAGCTGCTGATTTAGGATCAACTGTCTTAAAGAATGATTTTTGTGATAGGTGGTGTTGGAAGGATTATAATGATGAGATATATAATGTGAAATCAGCATACAAGGCAGTGATTAATGATGGTATCTACGTAGATTTTCCGCTTCATAAATTTCTCTGGTCTAGTTGTGTACCTTCTAAAGTATAAGGTTTTGCTTGGAAAGCCTTGCTGAATAGGATACCAAGTAAAGGTAACTTAATTAAGCGGAAGGTTCTTAATATTTTTGCTAGTGGATGTGCTTGGTGTGGTGAAGATTTGGAGAATACCTCTTACCTATTATTCGGATGTTATTATGCCTATTCTGTATGGTTATCTATTTTTGCTTGGTTTGGTGTTTCAACAGTTTTATACAACTCCTGTCATGAAAATTTTGTTCATTTTATTGGATTTCCTAGATGCAGTGGTAGAGATAGGATGAGGTGGTCTGTGGTTTGGTTAGTCATAATTTGGTCTCTGTGGCTTGCTAGAAATAATGTCATTTTTAAAGACAAGGTGGTGTCAATTACGGATTTAGTGAAATTAATCAAACTACGTAACTGGAACTGGATTAAGACCAAAGATAAGTCATTTTTTTACCCATTCTCAGCATGGTTTTCTTCCCCTGGTGTTTGCCTTAACTTCTGGAATAATGATTCTTTCTGATTATGTACACACCATGGTGTTAGTTTTGTATCTGATTTTCTGATTATTGAACTTGTTCGATTATTAGATGACATTTTATGGTCCTAATTTTGTAATGGTGGTAGACATTACAATCTGGTGATTACCTTTTGTGTGGATTACGTTGAATTTTGTTTAGGTGACTTTGTATTTTGTAATGGGTTGGGGTACCCCTTGTACTCCCATTAATTTATTTTGCTTTTCAACAAAAAAAACTTGAATTATGTATTAAAAACTTTTAATTTAGTTATTGAATTGTTAAAAATTGATGTAGAATATGAATTATATAGTAAATAGATTTCTTCTCTTATATATGAGAGGTTCACTTATTTCAATAACAACTTTTGATAGGTTTTTCTTATTCAATGTTCTACATTGAATTTTAACAAAATTTAATAATTATTTAATATTTTATTATATAAATTTAAATTATGTACAATATACTTTTAAGAGACACTTAATATTTACATCTACTAAAAAATAATTATTTTTTTTTAGCTTTAATCGTTAATAATTATTCTGATTTTTAGTTTTGCTCCTTTAAAAATTGTCAGAAGAAATTTACTTTTAAAATGAACTCTGATGCTTATAATTCTTAATTAAAAAATAAATAAATAAAGTGAAAATTGAACAATATTTTCCTTGTCATAAAATAGGTGACGTTGTCCATTTGACTTTTATTTTGTTAGGAGAAATGTTTAATCATTACTATCGTGGATCCTTTTAACAGGAAAAGCCTTCCCCTTGAAACCATAGGACATTTTCGATGGTGCTGTTTGTGGTGACAATGGCATCTAAAGTCTAACCATAATATATTTTTGAATCTTTTTGATAGCTCACATACATTGCAATGCTCACGATTTGGAGAACACTCCCTCAAAAAAATACCTCCTTATTGTATTCCAGTTACGCAATTCCCGGGAAATCTTCTGTTAACATATCAATTTGCCTATTCTATTGCTGTATCTTTTGTCATTCCTTTTGGTAGAGCTATCCAGGTATCTTTTATTTAAGAATATTCACGTCAATAGAAAATTAGGAGGAAGGAAGAAACGATATATACACAAAATAATAAATGTAATAAAAATGAGATAGAAAAGAAGTAAATGTATATCAAGTATTTTCCTTAATTTTAAACAGTAGTCTAGGGTGATTTTATTGATTTAATGAGACGTCATGCGTGATTTTTTTTTTCCTTATTGCATTTTTTATTTCTTTATATTTGTTTCGGTCAAGAGGACAGCTAGGGTTTTTGTCCTAGGCGAGTCTCCAAAGTCAGGACATTCAAGAGTGAGAATTTGTCTTCTTAAGTTTAGAGTTCAAGGTTTTATAGTTACTTGTTTGTGAGCCTCATAGGCCCGTAAGTTCCAGGATTCTTCATGGTAGTTTTTAAGTTCCAAATATCTGACATTATTCATGAGATTTTATTCCTGATATGTTATATTTCAAGGGGTTATTTCGAAATTTATCCCTCATGTGGTGGTGTACGTTATGTTATCAATTCATTGCTGATCCATCATTATTTCCTCCAGCCAAGGTCTTAACGCACCCAACTAAGGATCTTGTCTAACGAAATCATCTCGGAACGTATCCGAGATGGTAACTAAGGTTCTCATCCCACGATCGTTGGAGTATCCCTCCTCGATGAAGACATCTCGGCATTTCTTCGAGATGTATTAGGGGTCTCAACTCAGACCTGTCAATAGAGTCATCTCGGGATTCATCTAAGATGGTAAAGTTGCCCCCAGTCTTGAGCCTATAAGGCGAAAAGGCTTTAAGTGATTATATCTCTTGGTAAAACGATGAAAAACTTCTCCGATATGTATTAAGGGTCTCAATTCAGGCATGTTGGTAAAGTCATCTCAGAATTCATCCAGGATGATATAATATTTATTAAGTACAAGTTTTTTAATTGTTCATATCTATTAAGTAAAAATAATTACATTTTATTTCTCCATGCGTTGTTGGTCTTACCATTCGAAAAGAATTTTTTTATTTAAAATGAAATATATAAAGACTACAATTAGATGTCTTAATATTGTTGGATATATAAATTTTGAGTTCTCTATTGTAATTTTTTTCCCCTTTTAATCCATCTTGTCATAAAAGGTGAGGACTATTATTTATTTGACATCCATAGATAATTGTGACTCTATTATTACAAAGATTGTCATTGACATTGTGATTAAATAACCTTTGTTTTAAACATATTCTCCTAATTTTGATAACTATTATTTAAATATTGAGTTTGAAAATCAAAACATAGGAATAAGATGATCGAAGCTCTTAGATTGCATTTTTTTTTCAAATAATAAAATAAATAACAAATCAAATCTGCATATAAATCAAATGGAGAAATTATATGTCAAATTCAAAAATTACTAGGGTTAATATAGTAGTTTGGTAGTTAGAAACATGAGAACCTACGTTTAATTTTCATTATAATCATCTTTATAATTTTTATTTTTATAAAGAAAAAAGAAAAACATGTCAAATTCAAAAAATAAACATAGAATTAGTAATAATGAACATTCAAACCGGAAAATCAAGATTCAAACCAAATATAAATTAAATAAACTAAAAAAAATCTTGATGTTAGATAGAAATGTTAAATATTAGACTGACATGGTTCGAGTTTAGTAATAATAACATTAAATAAGATTAAATCAGTTAAAAATTACTCATATTTAAAACAACGGTTATGTGGTTTTTGTTTAAGATTAGATTCTAGAGGAGAAGAAGTAAAAAATATGTGATATAATGTATGAAAAGAAAATGACAGAGATTGCGTGAATGAATTAACGTGAAATCGATGTTTTCGAACTATATTCTTGAATTTATTTGAAGAGAAATAAATAATGGGAAAGGAGTATTTGTGATATATAAATTTGTACCTAACTACCTATCTTTCCTCACATGAAAAACCTTCACTAGCGCGTGTCAAATCAAAATGACAGTTGGTACATGTGAACCTGGAGATGCAAAACCAGACACTGCACTGAAGTCTGAAGTGAATTACGTTTGTGGAAGCGAATAAGCAAACCCGTTTGCATCATGAATTGAGAAGGCCCAAGTTGTGATTAGGAATGGAATTGGGAACTGGGCAATACGGAAATAAATGGTTCGTGAAAGTATGATTTGCTTTTGTTCGTGCATGTACATGAGTGGGTGTCCTTTTTCATGAAAATGAATTTGTCACTGTCACATCCATCTCCCTCCCTCTTTCTCAACCCAAATCCAATCACACTCTTCCATTCGCACAAACTCTTATGTTCATGAGATGAGACATGGGTCACAGAATTGGGAGAGCGAGGTACAGTGTTATGTTATGTTACACAGTCACAGATTCCTAAAGGCAAAAATGTGTGTGGCAAGCGAAGGAGCTCCAAAAGAGCACGATTGGAATTTGGAAGAAGCTAGAGCGTGTGATCCATCATCATCAATATTGCTCTTTTGGTACGGCTCTTTCCACCAAAAAGACCTCATTTCAAATTCATGGACTATCCCACATAGGTAATAAAAGAAAAGAAAAGAAAAGAAAAGAAAACAGAAAATGAAATTCTCCTCTCACTTTATTAATTTGTAGGCATGTACAATGAATATGGAGAGAAAAGACAGAGGAAAAAAAATGAGAAGATGAGCATGAGCATGAGCATGAGCATGAGCATGAGCAGGTAGCCCCTGAAAGAAAAACCACAAGTGGCTGCTGCGCTGAGATGAGAGACACACAGGAGAAGAAAATGACAAGTATTTATACAACACATAGAGGGTAGAGCGACATGAGACAGAAAGAAAGGAATTAAGGAAAGATGGAACCTAGTAATTCCACGTGAAACCCTCCAAACCTTGTTCAGTGTCGAAACCCATAGGACCCTGATTCTGGTACATCCACGAGTCCAGAGAGTCAACCAACACGAACTCCTTCTCCAAATCCAGAGACCCCTCCAGAGAGGGAAGCTCCACTATCTGTGTCAGCTCCTCCGAGGAGAGCGAGGAGGGGTCGATGTGCGCCGCCTTGGCCGCCGCCGCTTGGACGTCGCGGGGGGCCAGGGAGGCGGGCCGGGGGAGGGAGGCGGCCAGGTGGGGGAAGTTGAGAATGGCGGCGGAGCCTTTGATGCTGAGCGCCGCCACGTCGTGCGCCCTGGCGGCCATTTCCGGCGTGGGGAATGTGCCGAGCCATATCCGCGACTTCTTGCGAGGCTC